AGAATTTATTAATATAACAATGAGAGATGCGCCACAATTTAACCAAATTGGGCTTACTGGGTACAGTGCTGCATGTATCATCAATTTTATCCCTAAGTGTGATTTCAAACTTGCGCCGTCATGTAAGTTTCGTGCAATCGCTACATATTCTTATGCAAAAGCTTAATTTTAGTCGGTGTCATAGTAGAGGCGTCATTTCCGTTCATAAGATTTGAAAAGGTAAAAATAAGAATAATAATAATCATTTCTTGTTCTCTGAATCGCATGTTGAGTCGGATAGACAATTTGATTGAATATCAGACGCGTTATAAGTAAAGGGCAACTTAAGTTTCAAATGGAGATTTATTAGTCGATTCGATTCACGATGGAGAACGTATGTGAAGTGGTGGTTACTTCCAGTGAGATGAAGAAGCTGATGGCAGGTAAAATAGAGAGTGAAGATCTTGGGAAGAAATGCGTTTTTTGAAATATGCAACGTGAACAAATTTTGCTTTTTAATTACCTAACTACCAGTTGAAAGGCGTTGAAAGATAAGTCAATTGAAATCTAATTATTTAATTGACAAACTTTCAAATCACCACCTTTAAATACCTTGGTCTTGAGTTTTGCGAAATTAATAAGTTGTAAAATAGGAACGGTCATAGGTGATAGCAACAGCCACATCATCTCCAATTGTTGTGTCGATGGATACGATTTTGAAACTATATAAAATGTGAATTCACAATTGATCTATTTTCGAGTTGCTGAATATTTTCTTATACCACTCAATTGTTATGTTTTACACACACATCCGGTTGCATACAGAATTGGAATTGTTTTTTCAGTCTGTTCGAAATTAATATCTCCACAAATATTATATATGAATTCGTTGCATTTCTGCTTCAATTTTGGTTCCTCACTTTTCGCAACTGAACTCCAGACTTCAGTATTTTTTACCACATGGCAATAGGCGAACATCTCACTGCAATATTTCGTAGTTTCTGGGTACGCGAAAGACTTATCTCCACGTGGTGCACCCTCGACAGCGTATTTGCATACGGCAAAAAAGTCTACCACTCGGCATTTGACTTCTATTTATTATGATTAGCTTGAAACAAAGCTATAAGAGAAACCGACCTCGTCAGGGCGAATCACAACGTCTACAGATACTTCAGTGGAATGCTGAAGGGATAACAATGGCAAAAAGATCCAAGACCAAAAAATCCTACAAACCTATGATGTAGACATTTTTGCAATTATGGAAGCAAATATTTCGGATGACAAATTGAAATGCTACCGATTCCCAGGTTACACCCTGTACCTTCTACCTAAATATCGGGGCAAACATTTCGGATGACAAACTGAAGTACTACCAATTCATATCATTTAGTGATGTAGCCATTTTCACAATTATGGAAGCAAATATTTCGGATGACAAATTGAAATGCTACCGATTCCCAGGTTACACCCTGTACCTTCTACCTAAATATCGGCAAGTTGCAAGTGAAATTCTGACTGTAGAAATAGAAGGCTTCACATCACATTACGATCTAATCAAGAGTATGGGCTCGACGCAAGAAATATGCGAAATAATCAGATTAAATGTTTGGAAATGTCAAATATGCGAAATAATCAGATTAAATGTTTGGAAATGTCAAAACCACTTCAAGATATACGTATTTTATAGTCTATCCATAAATATTTCCAACTTTAATCTTTTAAACATCTCACGCAAAACTGTAGTATTATGAGACTTCAACGCCCATTCCACCAGATGGAGCTATTAGAATACAAACATAGCCGAAATGAAAATCGAAGACATGCTTGAGAGCAGCTCTCTAGAACTTATTCACACCGATGCGGATTCTGCTACATATCTGCAATACCATGGAATCAGGACAACTCCTGACTTGCTCGTGACATCAAGCGAAATCAGCGAGCATACACGCCTCAAAATAATTGACGATGATGGTTCTGGTCACAAATCAGTCATTATTAGTATTACCTTCTTGTTCTGGTCACAAACCAGTCATTGCTAGTATTACCTTTGGTCTTCTAGTCACAAACCAGTCATTGCTAGTATTACCATCGGCGGCATAAAGCTGTAACCGGTCATTATTAGTATTACCTTCTTCAGCAAAAGCACGACAAGAAAAGTGCCAACTAAGCTATCATGGAACTTCAAGAATAATTTCACACATGTCCCCTCAACTTCAGCCAACATTCTGGTAAACAGTGCAACTAACTCTCGAATATTTTAATCAGATGTGCAAAAAAACTATTTCCATTGACAAGACTAACACTATCGAAAGTTTGGGTCGCCATTTGCAACACTTCTGATCAGGCTGGAAGAATGGAAGACGTACAAGCCTGGAGACGGCAGTCATCTGTCTCAAGGAGTACAAGCCTGGAGACGACAATCAGCTGTCCTAAGGCAAACACTAAACGGATGGCTTTCGACAAGTTCATCTCAAATATCACCTATCAAAGTGATGCTGTTCTAAGACAAGCCATCTTACAAGCTAAACGGACTTCCACTATGGCAAGCCATCTTGCAAGCTAAACGCACTTCTTTCGAATTCTCTCAAATATCAACTATCAAAGTGATACCCAACGCACTTTCCAACAAATATCAACTATCAAAGTGATAGCCAACGCATTTTCAAATTCCTGGGTAACATCCAAAACAACACGGAAAGACCCAAGAATGTACCAATACGCTTCAACAAAAAACTGCTTACCACTGACAACGAAATAACTAACTACTTTGTGAGGCTATATTTCCCACAAGCAAAAGAAAACCTTTTGTCAGAAAATCTTCAAGAGCTATTAAGATACACGTAAGACAGTTTGGTGAAATTAAGGAAGGCACAGCAACACCAAATAATGCACTTTCTGACCCATTCAGACCTTGCAAACTTAATGGTGCGATAAAACAGCTAAAGTGCAAGAAGTCTCTTGGCGAAGACGGTATTCATCCAGAATTTCTAATTAGAATGGGACCAAAAGCCAAGGAAACCATGCTAACACTATTCAAAAAAATCTGGGAGACCCGCCTCGTACCTAATCAATGGAAATTTGCCATAGTAAAAGCAGTACTAAAAAAAGGACAAAGACCCTAACAACTTTGACAACTATAGGCCTATCTCCTTCACGAGCGGGCTGGCTAAACTTATGGAAAGAATGATTAACAGGACGCTGGCCTGATTCCTTGAGGCCAATAATATTCTTGGAAACAAACGAGCAGGTGTTAGGCCGCAACGATCAATTAATTAACAAGTAGCCACTTTCTCCCAACAAATCAAAATTGCCCTTGATGCAAGAAATGAATTTACGGCTGTATTCATCAATTTCAAATCAGCATATGACTTGGTATGGAAAGAGAAACTATTTGTAAAATTAGCAAAGATTTGTATTAAGTATAACATGCTTAACTAGACAAAAGCATTCATTGGGCAAAGAGCATGTAAAGTCAGATATAGAAATCCTCTATCAAAATCCTATCTTTCACAAACAGGCCTTCCACAGGGAGCTCCAAGCTGTATGTCTTCATCAATGACATAGCTGAACTGGTACAGACAGTTACGGGTATCGAATGCTTATTTTATCCAGATGATCTTGTTCTATGGTATTCCGCCCCTAAGAAAAAAAGATGATCTTGTTCTATGGTATTCCGCCCCTAAGAAAAACACTCAAGAGAGGACAGAAAGTGCCCAAAATTGTGAAATTAAACTACTAGCAAACTGGTGCGACAGCAGTGGAATGGTTATCAACTCAGAAAAATATTGCAACTCACACATTTTCCACGGCCCGTCAAATCATAATCGCGCTTCTAAGGCACAAGGATACTACCCTAGAAAAAACTCCCGCTTCTAAGGCACAAGGATACTACCCTAGAAAAAACTAATGAGTTCACTTATCTCGGAATGACGTTTTACACAAAGCTAGCATGGAAAAGTCACATTGCTGAAATGACAGAACCAGTCTCCAATAGACTGAATGTACTGAGGCGTCTTGCTGGTAGCGTATGGGGCTGTGCACGCACAACTCTTAACACAACTTACAAGATGTTTATTAAGCCAATAATGTTGCATATCTGTGAGCCACTCATTAAAGCCACAGAGGTGACTCTCAAGTCACTCGAGAAGACACACAACCAAGCATTTCGACTAATTACTGGAGGGATAAAATCGAAAACCATCGATGCAATGCTCCTGGTTACGGGGAGCACTACAATATGTTCCCTTCTCAAAGAAAAGGCCTTGATTCTGTATGTGAAGCTACTGCGCATTCCCATGGATAAATTCTTCAGCACCTATGAAAATGTTCTGAAAACGCAATCTGGTCTAATACAGAAAGCCATAAAACTGAAGAAAGCATTACAAATCGATGACAAACCAAAAGCCTCACTCTACCCATGAAACCATTAGCAGACACTGATGTAGTGCGTTACACCCAACTGCTTGACTGCTTCAGGAAATCAAACGCTCCACGAGAACAAATGCGCTCACGGGCCCATGAGACAATCAATGTCAACTATCCTGCAGATCAATGGCTCGCTTCAATGATGGGTCATACATAGAAAACCAAGCAACGTTGCTTCACTGATGGGTCATACATAGAAAACCAAGCAAACGTTGGTGCAGGTGTCTATTCTGAACTCTTCTCTTTGTACGCAGCAGCGGGACACAATAGTTCTGCTTTCGAACGAGTAATAGAAACAATTAGGATAGAACTAACGCTTTTGAAGGAGAAATAGAGGCCATTAGGATAGCACCATGACAATTATGTTGCCTGGATACGAAATTCACCAAAGGGTGATACTTTTGGACTCACAGTCAGCGAGAAACTCAAGCGGTGATACTTTCGGACTCACAGTCAGCATAAACTCAATTCACTTTTGGACTCACAGTCAGCAATAAACTCAATTGGAAACGGAGAGACGCCCAAAACAGCTGAGATAAAGGAAAGTAGAAAACTCTATCAGCTGCTGAGAGAGAAAACAAAACAGTGGTTATTGGAAAACGCTATGAGCTGCTGGGAGAGAAAAACAAAACAGTGGTTCTATCTATGAACAGCTGAGATAAACGAATGTAGAAACCTCTATCAGCTGTTGAAAACAGCTGAGATAAAGGAAAGTAGAAAACTCTATCAGCTGCTGAGAGAGAAAACAAAACAGTGGTCCTACAATGGATTCCTGGTCACGGTGACATTAAAAGCAATGCGCTTGCTGATGGACTTGCTAAGAAGGGGGACAACGATTTTGCAATGCATGGACCGGCCGATGTCTTTCCACACAATGAAGGCCTTAATCAGGAGAGAAATCAAGACCTCAAGATGCAACGAACTTAAAGCTTTAACAAAGGAGAAATAGTGGACAGTGGCGCTCTCTGACAGCCGACTGGCCAAAAATCTAAGCCGTTGCTGAGTTTTGACTGCGTATGGCGCCATTCATTATTTCGCCATCTCTCTTCAATCCTTTCTCTGCCTTCAGTGTCTGCTTTGGTAATTACTTTTAAATTTTGGCATTTTTGTAGGACCTATAAGAGTTGCTCACTTGGGACCAGTTTACTCCACTTCATTTACGATCTCCTGATCTTTGTGTTCACTCTATTATAAAACTTTGCGTGAATATTAATATAATTTCTTTGTAAATTGCCGACAAATTGGCTGGGTGCCTGGCTTCTTTATCATAACTTACGTTCTACTTAATTAGTATGAGTACAGTGCTTGCAGATTGACACGAAATACTGTAAGTATAAGCAAAGCCTGGCTCAGTAGAATATGTGTTTACGGAATAGTCCAAACCTCCAAATGCTACCACGAAAAATATACAGCTTAAAAAGTGTCATTCATTCAATAAATAGGTCTCTATATGACACAGCCCTTTCTACTCTTAAAGGCAAGCAAATCAGAAATGAACTGAAGATATTCACCATATCTGTAGTTCCAGACAAATTCCCCATTCACCCATGTCCCACCCAACATTTCCATATGCACTGACAGTGTAGCTCACCATTGATTACATATTCACTTTCAATATGCACCACTTGCATTATACTTCTGACGCAGTTTATCTTATCCACGATCTTTATCCAAGGCTAGCTGTTGTCAACTGTTGAGTTAGTATTAACACGATTTCAGCTAAACCCAATCATTCATTTT